GTCCTCCCCCCCCGTCCTCCCCCTGTCCTCCTTCTCCTCCCCTTTCTCATCCGAGTCAATGTCATCAGTAGCAGCTGCGGGAAAATAGGCAACATCTCTAATTCTTTGCTCTTATCATTCTGAAAGGAGTAACACGACAATTCTATTCCAAAGTAAACAGCCTGACTGCGCGAATGCGTTCACCTCCAAAAAGAACTGAGGTTTAAGTGTTTTTCGTGGATTATGAAGGAGATATTGAAAGCGATCTTTTGAGGTATCAGGCGGTTAAAATTCTGTTACACGTGACCGAATGATTTTACGCTATTATACATTTACATGTTACCAAGTGGTACACACGACTGATACATCATGAATCCATTTGAACTATAGACGTTCTCACATTCGCAGGGATGTTATCTATTCGAGACCATTCGGCTATCTCAGACTATACAAGCAGTAGCAACAGCAGTAGCAGTTGAAAGCAAGCGATTTAGCGAAGAAGCTTTGCTCTCGATGATTCAACGGCCCTATCGATAGGTTTTCGTCGATGAATCGCAATGGAAGTACATGTGCAATGTGAACGTACTCAAGATTCTCGCAGCGCAGCGGAGTGAACAGAGATTAGCGGCAGGATGTTCCTCGGCTTGCTGGTGGAGACGATGCGAGGCTTTGCGGACGATGAACGACGGTGGGGAACGGCGGTATGGATGCGGGGAGACCGGGACATGGGGTGGCGAGGTAACACTGTCGGACAGGTCCTCCTTGGATCGGCAAAGCAAATGAAACACCATGAACCAAAAAGGTTCAAGTGAGATACAAATGCACTCAGGATAAAACTTGACTGGTGCGGATGCCAAGCGTTATATACACCGGATTATCCTCTGTTGACATCAAGGAAAAACCGATACATACACACACACACACACACGAGAGCATTATGAACATGGGGCGGAACTATTTGTTACTCACCGGTACACTGCTAACCCCATTTATCCACCAGATAAACAATTCTCTCTCTCCCTCCGCCCCGCCAACAAAATGTACTCACAGTGGCTAGGTTGTTCGCCCGCAGAGGCAGTGCGTATCCACCTAAATTCGGATCCCGGTAATCACATGCTACACTGAACTCGATTGCTGACAAGCTGTGTGCTCAAGTACTTCCACAGTCAGCGGACTAGAGATCGCGCATGAAATAACGGGTGGGGGGAGACGGGAGAAAGAGATACATGCGTGGGCGCAACCTGTGCGTAGGTGCGATGGATGTGTGTTTTCGACTGTGCGTCGGGTAGTGGGAAAATCGGAACGATATCATAAGTGGTCCAGAGCGGTCACATTGCTTGTGATCTACTTGTTAGATTTTCTGAAATTTTACTCACCGGTAACCTCACTACTACACAGCGTTCTTCAATACCTCAAACAGGTCAGATGCGTGTACGTGTGCGACCGTGGTAGCCAGTGGGTGTGCATCTGGCAGGCAACTGACTGACTGACTGACTGACTGACTGACTGACTGACTGACTGACTGACTGACTGACTGTTGTCAGGCTGGATGGTTGGATAACCGGTGGAACGGACTGTCGGCCGGATGAACCCACTGAAAAACGGATGAACGGAGATTTCAGGCTTATTGCTACTTATAAGTTAAATGCAATACTGGTTATTTCTTAACTTTCGTGACGAACATAGGTTTTCAAATTCACTATTTCTTTTGTTGCATTTTCTCTTACCGTCCCATCCCTTTGTTCGATCCCACCTGGTAATTTTTCTGCTTTCAATGCCCTAGCACATCCTCAACCGATATCCTCATCCACCATGGAACTGATCGATTCGATCACACCCCTGTTGAAGTTCATGCGAGCGTTGTGTGCTCGGCATAATGAGCCGTTTCAAGTGAGTCGGTCACATCATGAATCTGAAATTAGATCACCTAATTCTCCGACTGCGAGCTATTTCGTTGCACCACAGACAAGCATACGACCGGTTGACGTTTTACATTCACTGCGTTCTAAATTACTCTTCTTTTTCATATTTTCAACTTAAGATGTCATATTGCTATGTGGATAGTCTGATAGTGCAATTACTCCATCGTTGCACATTGTACTTTTTTGTTGTGCTCTTGCTATCACGTGCAGTTCATTCGTGTGTTGATGGCACTCCTGCTGCACAGTCAAAGTTCACTGGGCCTGCTAAAGACTCACGATTGTAAACGAGGTGTATCTTCTCGCTCGGGATAGCTGGGCAAGCACCAGGTGTCTTTTTGCGACTGGGTCATCCGACCGATCGATACGTAAACCATATCGGTCGTGCGATTTTCGGGCCGGCACAAGCGGAGGATTCGTTACGAATCCGATACTGTTTAAGTGTTGGTAGAGAATCACCACAGGAGAATCAGTTGTGGAACAACGCGCCATGTGGGAAATTCGGAATAAAAAACGTTCAAACGGTGGTGTCGCTGGGCCAACATTTGACTCGTCTAAGATACACGCACTATCTTTCTACGCGGGTTCGGTGAACACATAATCATAATAAAACTCCGAAATTATCTTAAGTATGGACTACAATGTCCACTAATATAGGCCAACGCACAACTTCTCTTGGAATTTTACCAACTGACTTTTTTCGCGTTGAACGATCATTACCTAGGGAACCATTGGTGACCCAAAGCTGTCCACACTAAAACCGCCCCAGAACCAATCCTAACAGTTTGAAACCGAATCAACCCGGCTTACAGTTGGTCCAAGGAAGTCAATCGACCAATGAAGACAAAGGGGGCGTCACTATGACAACGACGCATCCAATCACGTCACAGTAAATGGTCAAAACTGACCAATGGGATTGGGGGGAATGAAATAGCCAATCAAAATCGTCGAACAGAAAGATTTAATCCTGCCCACACTGAGGGTTGGTGCTTCCCCGAAATTGCACTTATGACGTTGCCAGGACTGGCTGCGAGATGTTTGCGAACAAAACTTTCAGCTCGGAGAGAACACACTAACAACAATATCCATGTCCCGAGCTACAATCGTTCCACATTATTTCCAACAATGAAAACAATTCAGTCGACCATAAACCGAGTGAGTGAGAAAGAGCCAAAAGACCTACGATTGTTTTGGGTACGCGGAGGCATTTGATTAGTGAAATATCATGTCAAACAGGATCTGGCCACTCGTGTGGTGTGCAACCCACAAATCTTTCACAAATGAAAGTACTCAGAGGTCATTCAATCCTTTCCTCTGCGCACGCACACTCTCACTCGATGTGCCCACGGCCCAATGAGGTAGACTATTGTGTTAAGGATTAATCTGATTTGAAAACCGTTCCAATATACGCCTCCCCGGAGCTTGATTGCAATTCGCCCCCATTTGGTCGTCTGGACTCCATTGGCGGCAGATAATCAGGTTTGCCGATAAACCTCTCGTCCGTTAATCACGTGACATAATGCTGCTTGTATTTCTAGCCTCATCGGGCCTCATATCTTTACTCTCCTCTTAAAATCGATCATTCGGTGTATCTTTGCTGCGCAAGATTATTCTTTCGACTCACATTTTTTTGTTCGTGGGAAATAGTTGTCACTTAACGGATTGTGCAGTCGCATCCGGGTATTTTCATACCAGAAGATTACATATCTCCGTGAAACTGAACACAATCCGATCTATACGCAACGTATTCGATGAACTGTAATCAAGGAATAATATTCCAGTGCTACTTACGACAAATTTCAGTAGGATGTGTTTGTGAACATAGTGAAGCAGATGAATTAATCCCCAGTTTACATTCAGTATGTTGCTAAGGCCCTCTGTTTCGAATAATAATTTCATTTTGTTGCTCTCCAGAATCTATTCCGACATCAGCCAGAAAATGTCACAAGTTACAATCTGGTAGAAGAGACACAAATGCTTCTGTTGGGTTTCAGTCCGATTGAGACCACGGAACTGAACGGTAGCCTCCAACAAATCCAAGCATCATGCTCAAACCGCCCTGAAGAATCGAATACTCGCCCACGAGGGACGAGGATGGAAGTGGCCATGACAACCGCTTTTATCCCCGGTCAACTCGATGGTCGATCGGGAAACAAGGCTACTACGGACAAGCAACGTGCCGGTCAAAAACGATATGCTGATTTGTGCTGGATCACTGATCCACCGGTCGCACAGTTCTTTGTTCTGATTCTCTCCTGTCTGACTGCGTTTTGTGAGGGACCGTGCACGGAGAATCAAGAACTAGTTGCCAGCCCGGGAGCCGGATGTTTAGAGGCGGTCGGGAACGCGGTGCTATCCAAATTACCCTCAGGTGATCATGTGGACGGAAGATCTTTGCGTTTGTATAACCTGATAACTGAAGTCAAGGTATGCATAGTCTTTTGAAGTTGTTTTTTTCCCCAGGTTTTCTCGTAAATTATTATTTTTGAAACAGAACAACAGAGTGGCGAACACGCTCGTCTTTAGAGTGCTTCGAATGCTTGCCAATATATCACACTATATATCACTACTTGGAAATGAAATTGTCGTGAGAAAATCACATCACATCACAAATTACTCACAAGTAACTGTGAGTCAAACGTGAACAGACATATTTGTTCGGAACGAAGTCGATTACATCCGTGGAGCTATCAGTATGCTCTATGCGTTAACCCGACTGCAGTCATCACAACCGCATTATGTTCTCACATTGGACAGTTTAGCCAGAACCCAAGACTAATGTTACGGTTGCTCTGACCTGATGAGACTATCAGTGATTGGTCAACTCATATAAATCCGTATCCAGATTCAATAAACCAATCAGTTATCCTTAGTCTGCTTGTCTGTGATTGGTGGTGACTTCCATGGAACCCCCTCTCGGGATCAATCATAGAGAATTTGAGGCTTCTGACCGTATATTGTTTAGGAAAATCTTCATTTCGGAACATTATAGTGAATTCAAGTTTAAAAATACTAACCAAGCAGTTGTGGGGTGGGGGGGGGGCGGGACTGGCCATTGAAGTGCCAAAATCAGAGTTTGTCCCTCGAACGCTTAGTGATTTGAGTTTCATTCACCGAATTGAATACGAAATTGCACGAAGTCAGACGCAACTCGTCTGTATTAGATGAATAAATACTCAGCGTATGCTTCGCGGATTCTGGACAGTGGGAGGGGGGAACCATACAAGGCGATAGGATAAACTGAAGCACTGGTGAAACGCCAATAGTCAGCCCGAACGGTACGTGTATCGAGGGGCGAGTGAAACGAGGCCCCTTCGTGGTGTCCTTGTGGAGAGAAATGACCAGCAATGATAATGGACCAAGAACTATGGAGATGTCAGAGATCAGGGTGTGTTGAAATCAACGGGGCATGGACTAATCAAACACGAGACCGAACGTATAACACACAAAACAAAGCACCGTGTGATACGAGCAGACGGTGCTCGGGGTGTACCATAAGTAAGAAATGCAGCGAATGATCTTGTTTTTCTTTTCTCTTTCCTCTGGATAAAATATGGATAAAAGTTTTTTTCTTTTTTTATCGACATGTTCTGTAACAATTTCAATTTAAATGCGTTGGATTGATTCAATGTGATTGTTAGTTCCTTTTCTGCAGAATTAGAATGGACTGCCTTCCCGTGTTAAACTTGTCAAGAAGTGACGCGCAAAGTCTCGGTCTCAATGCAATGAAAACCAAGACTGTCTAGCGATACAGTACTATTACATACGAATCAATTAATGATATAATGAATAATATACAAACCTTGATTGGTGAGTTATCTGGGTTAGAACAGTCGTCAAGGCACTTCGTGATATGAGTGCGTCAAATGAGAATATGACAGCGCTCGGCTGTGTAGAAATACACCTTACACTCAAGGTTCGCCAAAAGGGGACAGCTCATCGCGGTGTCAAAGAGAGAAAGTGATCAAATTATAGGGAGTCAAGCAAAATAAGTCCAGTCAGGCAGTGACATGAAGCTCCCAAAAGGTGAGCCAATCATAAGAGAAATGGTTGCACACAATTCGACCTGTCAACACACAACGACAAGCGTGCGTGTATGCATGTGTGTGTATACATGGACAGGTGACTCCCAAGGAGCCATCATAAAAGGTCACGTGCGTGGGTGGTTAAATAATCGATAAATGCTAAGCGGTCAACCGGTACAGAACAAGGCCAGATGGAACACAGGGACAATGGAAGTCACAAGAGAACTCGTGTGGCTGAAGTCATACGAGTGAGCGGTGTGCGTGCGTCTGCATGCCCGTTGACGTGTCAGAAGCTGGGAAAACTATAAGCACTCGTTTGGTTATATGAGAACTCGCTAATCAGAACGAAACGAATGTCACCGGGATAAATAAGAAGCGATAGAGTGGACAATGAGATGAAATAACACAAAATGACTCTGAGGAAAAAACTCAACAGTCTTGACGCCCACAACCGCATTCAGTGGTCGATATGGGTGTGTAATACTCCGTATTTGCACCTGGGATTTATGGTTGAGTGTGTAGCAATTACCAGCCGCTTAATTTTCCATTTATGGAGAATCCGAACCGTTCGAAAGAGATCAGAGTTCTCAATGACCAAATCGAGTTTTCGCAATCGAGGTGATATAGAAAAACTGGGACAGTACCACAATCAATCAAGAACGATCGGTTGGGATTAAATGATGATATACATATAAGCTAGGAACCAAAAAAGTAACTGTGATATTTTGGCACTTCTCTTTTAATGTTTCCTCAGCAGATTTCTGATCACTAGTCAGGATGAGTACCGCAACCGCAAGCAAAGACCGTCATCTCTCATGTGTACGTGTAGGTGCGCCAGCGCGCGCGCACGCGATAGAGAGAGAGAAAGAATAGCGCAATTTGAGGAGTATGGGAGTATGTTCCCGACCAGAGTGAACGACTGTGGTTAGGGGAGTTCGCATTGCTCGGTCTTTTGAGAGACCGACTGGGATCCGGCTCATTGTCATTCCTGATTTGTTCCCGACTGCGTTGCGTCCACTCCATTCGTTGTGCAATTACGCGCATAGGACCAGTAATGCTGAATCATTCAGAACGGGCAACTAATGTCCGAATGTGGTATTCATGATCGCTAGAACACGCCTAGTTCACATAGTCCACTTAGCACTGAAACAGAAGAGAGTCCGGTTCTATTAGTTCCGTGGTTTCGTGATTTGTACCCTGAACAATGTGACTGATATTTGTTCCTTTTGCTTGCATTCGACAGCTGGAAGCAACAAAGCTTTTACTGGCCCTGATCGAGAGTCGAACCGATCGAACAATATCGTCCCGACTAATCAATCAACTTTGCCCGAGGAGGATAGTAAGTGTTCACCATATCATCCCATTCAACACATACCAGTTCATGTGATTTAAGGGGACCGAAAAAAAACAATCCATTATTATTATTTGTCTTCTTCTCACGATTTGTATTTCAAGTTCCATTGCCTAAAACGTTTTGCTATATGACATCTCAATTCGGGAGGAAACTGCAACTGATTCAGATCGAATTAAAATGTTTGAAAGAATGTAGAATATTTGTGGCTCGTGATGCGGATATTGGTGTGGATGAGTTCTCCGAACTGGAAGTGTTGTTCGCAGACGTTTCGTAGCCAAACTAGGCAAAATCATCGGTGCGACTTCGGCCAAGTGCAAATTCTCAGTGGGATCGGGCTTATATAGCACTTTTTAAGGGTTTCGATTGGCTGTTTGCGTCCCTTCAATCCTATTGGCCAATAGCAACCGTTTTCCGTGATCTGATTGGCTGTTTTGTTGTCATGGTGACCATCTTTTTTTATTGGTCGACTGTCTTTCCTAGGAATTTAAGTGTAATGGAACCACAGATCGCGACGAATTTTTCACATCCTACCGGTAGTTCTTCAATAAATCCTCACTTATCAGTACAACCAGGGATGAAGTATTGTCACTGTTCTTTGGTGAAAAGTACAGATGCGAAATTTCTATTGTCTTCCTTGCACCAAATGGAAACCACGATCGAAAATGTAAAAATACGCCGTAACAACAGTAAGCCACTGAGTTCAGTTCAGTTTGGTCTGAACAACCACGTTCCATGCACTTGTTTACGCCGATTTCATTTCCTGTCTTATGACCTCCCGTTTGGATGAACGGATGGAAAACGAGATTAGAAAGTTAGTAGCAATGTGGAAGAGAAAATGGGCAATTCCGTTAGATCGAGGTTGCAAAGAATTTGGGAAGATGCATGAGCACCACTGTTTACGACACTCAGAGCCTCAAAACACCTTCTCGTTCCCAATTTGGTGTGCTCTCTATAGTAAACTGCTCACCCCATTCTTCATTCTCAGGTCAGTTTAGCCAGAAATTTCTCTTTTGGGTTGAGATATGAGTTGCATTTAGAGCACGCCATTCTTTCAATGCCGAGTAGCCACACTAACCTCTGGTCAGATGTGAGTAGTGAACTGCGGCGTTTTCCGGACGAAATACGATCGAAGCTCGACAATTCAACGCCATTTCTCGAAAAGAGATGGCATACTGTGATGGATAAATGCGTCACAGGGAGATGCATTCCCCGATCCTATCCGTCCTGCTCAAATCTTCACTTAGTTCACCCCGGGAAAATACACTTTTCATTTTCATTTGTCCGATCATACAAAGTTAGTTTGAGTATACAAAAGAACGGGTCTCCTAGTTGAACTGTTTTGAGCGTTTTTGTGTATTTCGCTTTCCTCTTATCCATCTATTAAACGGTACGTTCTTCCGGGTTCATTGTGTTATCCAATTTAAAACAGTGCCATGAAGTGTATCGTTTTTAGTGCCAAACTTATCGACTCACATTAGCTTTTTATAACCTCCAGTTGTTTTGTTTTGTTTTGTTTGTTTTGTTTTCTGTTTATGAGACGTTTATTGTTCTTTGTACAATGTGTAACGTTTTTTTCACTGTAACTTGTAAACACATACACCTAGTACCCCACGTAACTGAGACACGAGGAAAAGGCCACAAGAATGGCAGTTCGTTTACTGAAAGAAACC